CTGGTATGACGTCGAAGAATTGAAAGAATGTTTTTAGTCCATATGTTAGAACAACTTAGACATCTTATACTGTTATAGGTGGGTTTTTTATAAACCTGGGGACATGAAGCTGCGATATTCCATGGATATATAATGTTAATGCTTTGGATGCAGCAGTTAACACTAACTCAATTTTTCCCCAAAAACAGAGAATTGGAATTTTTTCCATGGATAAAGAAAACAGGATTCAGGCCGTCTGACAAATGGAATATAAAACTCGGGGTGATAATAACAATCCAAGAATGTCTTAAAGAGAAGTATCAAGGCACTGTGTTGTTAGAATTTTCGGCTATCAAAGTCTTAAACAAAGCACTCTGCTGATACAAAGACATGTCCTCCACCGTTAATGAGACAAAAGTGACAATGATGAACGAATAATCCTCAATTACAGCCTAATCCATTCTTACCAGAGCAGAGCGATAATAAACAGAGTGAAGATCGAAAAACAAAGAAAGCAAACACACGTACTTTATAGTCGTTCACAAGATTGGACATTGCAAGTTTGCTCTACATTTTATTAAAAATAAGTGTGCAATACAATTAAGTTCTATACACTCCAAGAATAGCATACTACACTAATTACATAAGAATATCTATGACGAAGAAGTTTTTCGTGCCCATTACCTTGTGAAGGTACTGAATCATTTCGAGGAGGTGTCAATGCAAAGGGACAAGTCCTATAACCACAAATACAAACGGGTTGACCTAAACCCGAATCAAAACCCGCATTGACCACCAAATCTATTACACTCAGAACAGTTACTCTCATATGGATCGCTATAATTTTTTTGAAGGTATTAAAATCAAGATAGTGCGAGCAGCAATATACTATAAAAGATGTAGACAAAGTTGAGTAGGATCATCAAACTTAACGATGAGGATGTTATAACTTATGCAAAGCTGCATTTCCCATTATACTAATATAGGACTTATTTGTTTCCTGTTCGGAATGTGACTTCTTGCTCTTTTCGACTTAGTTCCAAACTTCCTTAACAATAGATTACATTCAACAAAACTTATCTATAAAATCGGGAAATGTAATTTCGATCGGGTAACATATGATTGCTCATATTATCAATGAAAATCGAATTCATGATTAAAGCATTACCATAACTGGTATAATCTATAAGTGTTCCCATAACAATTTTAGCTCACCATCCATCTTTAGAATAGGATGTTCAGACAAGATGACAAGAGGGAAAATCACATAATGGATTAATTCTCGAGGAATATTGAAGGGATGGATGAAGTCTCGCATCAAATTGCAGTTGTGAGAAAGATGAAATACAAATGCTTTGACTTAGTGAAGGGAAAACGAAATCAAATGAATAAATAAAACAGGATTCAGGCCGTCTGCAAAAGAGAATTTAAAACTCAAGATGATAATAACAATCCAAGAATGTCATTAAAGAGAAGTATCAAGGCATTGAGTTATTAAAATTTCCTACTATCAGTCTAATTAAAATTTATTGTGCCCATTACCTTTTGAAGGTACTGAATCATTTCGAGGAGGTGTCAAAGCAAAGGGACAAGGCCTATCGCCACAAATACAGACGGGTTGACTTAAACCCGAATCAAACCCGCATTGACCGCCAAATCTACTACACTCAGAACAGTTACTCTCATATGGATCGCTATAATTCACACTGAAACCCTGCATTAAGGCCTCCTCAAGGCTGATATTCAATCCATTTAGCCTATCACCCGCAGCCCTCAAAATTGGAACAGAAATACTCACATTACAGTATATGATCCTCAATATAGGGTCATTTGGCACCGGCCCGATTAAATAGAAAGCATTGTTAAAATTATCACCACTCGAATTGCAGCTGAAAAGATTGTAAGGTCTCAAGGGCATGACCGATGTATTGCAGCCGTAGATTAAGTAGAGAACTTCGTTTTCCATTCATTCATCGTCAAAAAGTGTAGAATTGAGAGTAGAATTGAGAAATTCAGAAGGGAAGNTTAAGTTGAGAACTTCGTTTTCCATCCCTTCATCGTCAAAAAAGTGTAGAATTGAGAGTAGAATTGTGAAATTCAGAAGGGCAGGTGTTGTTGTAAAGGTCTGAACGGGACAGATTCATGCCTTGTCTATTTTTTTTAAATAATAAAATTAAAGAATTCCTTCGTACTGTTTGATATATAAGCATATATGTAGCAGAAGTAATTAAACTTGGAAGGTATTCCAATTAAGAAATGAATTACGATTTTAAATAGTTGAAACGTATCTTGTCTCTAAAGAAGTTTAGGATGCTTACAAGCTAAAAGTTATAAGAATAGTAGAATTTTATTGAAACGATATGGTTGACCAAAATTCATATGATCTAGTTGTGGTGTATATTTGAATGAAAGCTGCTACACTTGCAGTCATTAGAGGGCTGTAATTTTTACAGCTCTCTGATGACTGTACAAGAAGTATTTTTGAATTTGAATATATTTAGAAGGAACCAAAGGAATAGAAAAATATTATTTATATGTAGAAAATTTAAAATTTGTGTGAAATACTAGGTGTTGGATTTTTGCAGTGGTGGCAATATTAATCAAGACAGCGACAATATATAAGAATATATATATTGGTTGGTTAATTTCCACCACAGCGTTTTCCTAATCCAACTTGGAGAATGTGAACAAAAAAGTCAAATTCTTACATTAACGGATAATACTTTGAAAACTAAGGTGCGCGAACGAAGAAGCTCAACAACTAAACACTGGACTTGTAAGATGCGTTAAGCCCATAATAGCATCGGAATCTAGGAAAGTACAAGAGAGGACAGTTCTTATTAACCTAAATGGTTAACCTTTGAAGTGCAATCCCAATTCTCTACACGAAAGGGATTAAAAATATAGTTCCTTAAAGTACTCGATATGGGTACTAAAGTGAACTAGAAAAGATAAAAACCCGGAAATATGGATGAAACAGAGGAGAGGTGGGGAAACAGGATTGTTATTAATCCTTGGTACAACGAAGGATGAATTTGAACAACCTATACTTTTTGTCCAAATATCAGGAAAAAGAAAATCCTCAAAACCTACATATAA